CGGTGGCGGAAGAGCCTACGGAGGAGACGGTGAGTTCATGGCCGGGAGACGGGGATGATGATGCTTGGCTTGAGAAAGTGGAGAAGGAGACAGACTTCACAGTCAAGCAAATCACCATGACCGAGATCCTGGAGAACCGCGGTGGGCAGGCAGTAGTGGAGGCGATCAGTCGCTTCCATGCGAGGCTGACGTTCTTGGGCCTCCCTGTTCTGCGGCTTCACTCAGATCGGGCAGGTGAATATCAATCTCGAGCCTTCGACCGCTGGTGTCGTGAGAGAAATGTGATGCGCACCTTCACTGATGCCGACAACTTCCGAGGAAATGGAAGAGCAGAGTGTGCGGTGGCGCAGGTGAAAAGAGGTGCAAGAACGCTCCTCTTAGCTGCCGGGTTGGACGAGAGCTACTGGTGCCATGCCGCTCGCCACTGGTCCGAATGCAAGATGAGGAGGCAGTTGGAGTCGATGGGATTGAAGCGGCGGGAGCTGACTCCGTTCGGGCAGCAGGTCTGGGCTAAGAGGAAGCTGTATAGTGATCGACAGAAATACCTCTCCACTACACGAACGCAGGTGAGGATCCTCTGCCCAGCGGTCACAATGTCATTGACAACTCCGGGCTATTTTGTCCAGGAGCTCAAGACGGGGAAGTTCTTCCACACTGGGGACATTGTGGAGGTGGCCGAAGTCCCGGAGGACCTTGAAGTTCCGGCCCGAGAGGCAGGCTATCTTCACGAGGTTGAGGAGAGAGAGAGCCTTCCTCAGCCGAGGAAGAGACCTGGCCGGGTTCGAGGAGCAGTCAAGAGCCTACAGGTTCCTGAAGAGGAGTTCTGGGCATCAGACTGGGGGGGAGCTGCAGCAGCGCGGAGCTCAACTCCTGTCCGAGGAGCTCAACTTGGTCGAGGAGGACGAGGGTGAGATCACCAATGAACGCTTCCTCAAGGCCCTCACTCTGGAAGTGGAGGCGGTGACGGAGGAGGCCAATAAGGTTGGCCAGTGGGAAGAAGCTCAGAAGGCCGTGGAGATAGAGAAGGAGATTGAGGAGCACCCGGCATTCCTGCAGACGAGAATGGTGGGCTTGGCCGAGGTCAGGAAGAACATGGCGGAGTGGAGGCCATCTATGGCGGAGGAGTATGGTGCCCTGGTCACAGAATCGGAGGCCGTTGAGCCGATTGACCATGTCCGGATGGAAGAACTTCGGAAGCAGGCAGCCGAGGTCGGAAAGGACTTTGACCTGGTACCTGCGAAGGCTATCTTCAGTCGGAAAGCTGGCACGGGCCGCCACAAGTGTCGAGGGGTCGCCTGCGGAAACTTCATGCAGGCGAAAAGCAGTGAGTCCACCTTTGCTTCAGGAGCTAGTGGCATTGAGGTACGGATGTTGATGAAGGTGGCAGCTGTTCACGGATGGGACCTCTCGACCATCGACGTCAAAACGGCCTTCCTCAACGCTCCGGTGGATGAGTCAGCCGAGAGAGGCATCGTGATCGTTGAGCCGCCCCGCATCTTCAAGGAAGCTGAGGTACTTCAACATCCCACGGAGTACTGGCTGGTCAAGAAGGCCCTGTACGGGCTGGTGACGTCTCCCAAGGATTGGTGCGTCCACCGGGATCAAAAGATCAAGGACTTCAAGTGGGAGACCGGGCAGACCCAGTACAAGGTGGAGAAGACTGCTCAGGACGACGTGTGGGCGATCAAAAGCCTTGCCGATGGGGATGGAAGTTGGCAACTTGCGGGACTATGTGCCACCTACGTCGATGACATCATCATCGCTGGAGAGAGGAAGGTGATTGAGAAGTTTCATCAACGAATCCGAGAGCACTGGAAGATTGGTGAGCCGGAGTGGGTCGAAGAAGGTCGGGAACCAGTCAGATTTCTGGGGATGGAGGTCGAAAGGCGAGGACGGGACTATGTGATCCACCAGAGGGCGTATCTGGAGAATCTCTTCTTGGAGTATGACGAGAAGGGAAGGTCATCTCTCGGGAACATCAAGACGCCCGAGGAGGAGGATCCACCACTGGCGATCGACGTGACGAGAGCCCAGAAGGAGACCGGAGAGCTGCTTTGGGTCGCCGGAAGGACACGCCCAGACATTTGCCTGGCAGTGAGCCTCATGTGCCAATGGGCGACCAAGAGGCCTAAAGGGGTGATCGCCATTGGAGCTCAAGTTCGAGCCTATCTTCGAGAGACCCGAGATGAGGGATTGGTCATCCAAGGAGGTGATGGAAGAAAAGAAGTGGCGGAGGAAGTGCTGGGGGACGTGGAGGTCTACTCGGACGCATCGTACGCTTCCTCCAACCTCAAGAGCCTAACTGGGGTAGTAGTGTGCTATGGAGGGACTCCTATCGCTTGGCACACTACGAGACAGGCATTCATCACCCTCTCCACAGCGGAGGCTGAGCTGATGGCGATGCTGGAAGGCCTGGTGACCATCCGCTCAACAGGAGCTTTGGTGGAAGCGGTGCTTGAGAGAAAGGTGAACATGAGGATGCACTCAGACTCTACGGCGGCTATCGCCATTGCTGCAGGAACGACATCCTCATGGAGAACCCGCCACCTACGGATCCGAGCTGCTGGACTCACGGAAGCTCTAAGGTCACGAGAGGTTTCATTGAGACATGTGGCCGGGGTCGAGCTAGTGGCGGATGGGATGACGAAGCAGCTAACGGTCAACCCCTAAAGAACTTCAAGGAGACCCTGGGCTTGGAGAAGGTTCAGGTGATTGAGAAGATGGAGGTCAAGAGACTGGAGATGGGGAAGAAAAATCCTGATCCCAGGTTTGCGAGAGGGCTGGGACTGCTGATCGCTGCTACGAGCTTGATCACTCAGGCTGAAGCCAGTGACACCCACTCGGATGGCGGAGGCAGCGAATGGTGGATTCTTGTGCTCCTCACCGCAGCGATCGCGATCATCGGGGACATCTTGTTCCGGGTGGGAACTGCGGGAGTCAGAAGATGGATGTCGCCCAGGGAGGAGCTCAGGGTGAAACTCCTTCACCCGGATGCCCCTACCAGTCCGTGGCTCAGAGCAGGCAGCTGGCTTGGACCTTCATTCGGTCATCGAAACCATGGTTCCCTCAGGCGATAGCGTCCTGGTGAAGACTGGACTGGCGATTGAACTTCCCCCAGGGACCTACGGACGAGTGGCACCGAGGTCGAGCCTGGCTATCCGAGGAATCGAAACGGGGGCTGGGGTCATTGACCGAGACTTCCGGGGTGAGGTGAAGGTGCTTCTTCGAAACTGGAGCGATGAGGACCTCTTCATTTACAAGGGTGATCGGGTGGCACAGCTGGTGATCGAGAAGATCATGGAAGTGGGGGTCAACAGCGTGGAGCACCTGACGGAGACGGTTCGGGGCTCGAGGGGATTCGGCTATTCTGGCCACGAAGAGCTCTACCCATGGGCAGAACCGGATGATCCTCTCTACCAGCGTCAAGAGCTGGGAACGAGGAATCCAGTTGATCGAATCTCGATCAGGGCGATGAGATTGGGAAGCGGGCGACGTGAGACTGTCGAGAACCGGGGCACCCAGACGGAAGCCGAGGGGGAAGGAGGACTATCCCAAGGACACCAATTCTGGAGACCATCGAGTACCCGATTCTGAACTATGGTGTCGAGGAGCCTATGATGCGGAAGCGGAGGAACGACGAAGAGCGAACCTGGGCCTGCCGATGAGTGCCTGGGACAGGTCTATGATCAGGAGGGGGCCGAGGAGAAACCATGGAGGAACATGGGTGATGATGGACTCTGAGGGAGTGCACTTCATCTCTCATGACCCTGGAGACGGGCTGGGATCGGTGCACCCCATCAAGTCTGATGCTCAAGGAAGTGGAGGAGGAGATGGTCAACCACAGGGAGGGACGACTTCAGCTGGGGAACAGTCGGAGAAAAGGCCGCCCAGGGTTGAGCCTCTACGGTTGGTCACCACTGTGGAGGAGAATGTAGTGCTCGGGAAGTGGTGCCATGAAGAGGAAATGTGGGACTACCTGAGGATGCCTGGCTTTCAAAAGGGGTTCCTGAACGAGGAGGTTTTGAAGGTGATCTCAGTGCCGCCGCGAAGGACAGCGGCGAAGGACTCGTGGGGCCATTTGATCAACCACGAGAAGGGGCGGAAGATCGCCATCAGGGTCCATCACCAGGACCGAAAGAAGGTCTACGACTTTGAATCCGAGGTCCTGTTGGAGGAAGAGTGGGGGCCTTGGCGCATGACGGTGGCATGGGATGTCATCTCAAAGAAGAAGATGATCTATGTGGATGAGAGGAGTGGACGAAAAGGGATCCACCTCGATTTCACTTGGTTCGGCTACACCCTGTTCCGGACCCCATGAGTGAGAGGGCTTGAGCACCCCCCAAGGAGGGGGATTTTGGAGTTTTCCAATTTGGAGAAGCACCATGATTCGCTGTAGCAGCGAAGGGGGAGTGCTGGTGCATAAATTCGAGAAGTGTACCATGCTTGAAGGTTGTAGAAGGTGCACGAACCGAGAAGTGTACCAAGTTTGAGGTTGTGCAACGCACAAATCCGAAGTGTACCAACGAAGCCCTTTTTAGCCATCAAAAGTCCGTGCAGCGGACACACGCGATTAGAACACGCAATGTATGAATAATGTAGACATAGAGATTAAAAGTTATCCTGTCCACAAGCAGAACTATCAGCTGTGCTTGTGGTCTTTTGCTCCATCAACTCTCCAGATCCTTTCAAAACACCTGGGTTACCTGGAAGTCGGGCCCCGCTGAGCCAAGCTCTCGTAAAAAGGGAAACTTTAAAACGCAAGCCTATGTTGGCTTTATAACTTTAATAGGGTGACCCCCAACATCTTCTCGCCCCTGGCTGGGTAGTCGACTCTGGTCTACGTACTGCCAGGGGGTCGGGAGAGGTCTCCCTATTAACAAGATATGGCAAGAGAGCTCCAGCAAGCTGCTTGCCCAGAACATCTGCTATGGATGACTCCATCGTGAGAGGTCTCCCACGCCGGCTTCGTACCATGGCACCGGTGCCGGCACCGGTGCGGTTCACTCCTCAATGGATCCCAGACTGTGCCGGGCGCTGCCCGGTGCCTTTTCATCGAAGACCAAGTCGGTGAAGTTCAAGCAAAGCTTCACACCATCCTCACTACCTGCACCCCAATCACCCCAATCGATCGAAGAGGGATTCATCAACTGGATTTTCGAAGGCGACAGTCCGTCATGGTGCTTTTCACCGTGCTTTTGGGAAGACTTCGGAAGGCCGACCTGCGTGAGTTGCGTTGAACTACGGCCTTGTCACGGTCACCGGCCTTGGGACGGTCACTCTGCCGACCCAGGCTGCATCGACCCAGGTGCTTTTCGACCCAACGGCTGGCCGATTTCAGGGTCTGATCTCTCCATGGACCCGACGTCCCGAGCCGTTTCGATCCCTGTTGGTTTTGGGGTGGTGAAATCAATCATCCACCCAAAAAGCTTACGTTCTTTTTTAAAATAGCATGTTATAGCATAGCTGTCTCATCCACCTTCGATGGATGCATCTCATCTCACCCGGTTTTCGCTTTTCGCCCCTCCCCCGGGAGACCGCAGACCGTTTTCACCCGTTTTCACGCCTCGCGGCGGGCGATAGGCAGAGACTTGGACTTGGGCAATCAACGACCGTTTGGCATCGTCCAGTAGCCGCAGACGCAGCGTCTCCGACTCGCCACCTCCGTGCGGGAGGAAGGCTATAGTGAGCGTGAGGAGCGGAAGAGTTACTGAGCCTTCTGTGAGAGGGGTTGGACAGTTTGAAGATTCATATCACCGTATCACACATTTGAAGGACACGGCAAAGCAGTGATGAGCTACTGTAATAGGGGTCCATGTGGTCAAATGTGGTTGTCGTTGCTGGGAACAACTTTAGGTTGGGAAAAGGATTTTGAGACGTGGTGGCTCTGTGATTTCCAGGTAAGAGGAGATCAAAATCTGAACTGCACAAGAAGGATTTCTTGACCCAATCCCGGGAGAACATCTTGGACAATATGTCTCAAGTGGCTGGCCGCAGGCTAGCATCATCTAACATCAAACCTGAACCATACAAGGGGAATCCAATGATTCCCATGCATATAAATTAGACAAACATTATGCTACACGTACGTCCAATCCACATAGATTCCCTACGTACGTCCAGTCCGACCCAGTCAAACCTGGTCCAACTGTACCTCCCAGCTCCAAGTCGTGTTCTCCACCATTCCGTACCGTCCAGTGCGACCGTCCCCGCACTGGTCCGTGGGGGAATCCAAAAGGGTCTCCCCAAACAGTGCTTTGGGCCCTCCACCACTTGACTGACGGGTCATTCACTCTCCGAGTCCTGCGGAGATTCTTCGGCCCCGGGCACCTTCTGCGACCTCCTTCAACTTGCTCCGCACCGTCTCCCAATCGGTGGGACGCACCAGGCGGCGCAAGGAGGGCATCGACATGTCTGAGGACTGTGGTTGACGCACGAAGCTCAGGTGTGCCTGTTCCACGTCCTCGGTGAACGAATGAAGCGGTGACATGGCCTTAAGGCACTCTCCCGGTGGGTTTTACGCCCCCAGGCGCCGTACGCCACACCTGATGATCGGCCGTACTCGGAGACGTTGAAGTTGTACTTCCAGGGGAATCCTCGTTCAGTTCTTTGCATCAATTTACCATGACCACCAACACCAGCAGTTGCTGTGACCACAAGGGGCAAAATGCGGGCAGCTCCGATCGCTATGTTTGTTGCGTTTCAAGAGGTTTCTTGGAATCTTCATATTCATACCCCTCAATGTAGACTCCTGATGAATATACCCCCCTTACTATATATAATTATGAAGAGGTGGTACAATTCCAATGGGCCGCTTTGATGAATCAAGAGCCTCTGCATCAAGCTGGGCCACCACGGGAGCGTCCCCCAGTTTCGCTGCCCCAAACGCCGACGATCGATGGTTTGTGCGCCCAGCGGCGAACCAACGGCTGGAGGTGTCCACGCAAAGGGTCATGTCTGAGAGCTCTGGAAAGCTTTGAAGCAATGAACCCGAAGAGTTCCTGATGACGAAAGAAAAGCCAAGTATATATAGCTCCGAAGAGAGGCTCGATCTGAGAAGGGGTTGTTGAGAGAAGGCGTTGTCGATGCGTCTTTTTGTAACCACCATATTCTTTCTTGCTTGATTGTGAATGGGGAAAATGCGCCAATCAATGTAAATTCATGTCATGTCAAGTAAATTGACAATGACAAAGGATCTAAAAGACGAAAAGACCTCCAAGGCTCTGTGACATGCTCTCAGAAAGGCTATCCGCTTCGGCATTCGACTGTGGAGAGACCTTCGTCGTGGGCGCGCTTGTCATTTTGCGGAACGTGGTTGGTGTGACTGTGGGGGAGTCCTGGGAGCTGGTTGGGGGATGTAAAGGAAATAGATCAAAACATATCAACACGCATTGGTGGTGGGTCTCCCTATTAAAAAAACACACTCTGGTTGAAAAAAAAGTGAAAAGAGTATGGGGACTGGATTATATTCCGTAAGCGGTCTTTGGGAGGCTCAAATGAAAACAAACACATGAGCAAACAAAACATTGGGACATATTTGGACCATTAGGTTGGATCGTGTGCTTAATGGGGCTTCAATAGGCTCTTGTTCCATGAATTGCTACTTGGAACAACATCATCACAACTGTAAGGGTCTCCCAGCCTTTCAAGCACCCTTGAAGGATGGGGAGGTCCCATTCGCATGCGCCATACGACTCATACGACTTTGAAGACCTGTTTAGGGCACCCCTTGAGCCTCGGTTTTTCCGACCCGGGACTCGTCGCTGCCGGACGACCGGTGGTCATTTGGCCGGCCCCCCTTGGGTGAGCCCACCCAGCTCAGCAAGCGTTGCAGAGTTCGGAGATGTAGAGTTCAATCCCCCACCAATCCATGGAGACGAATATTTGAACCCCTCAAACCAACCCTTCAAGTTCCAAGAAAAAAAACGCATCAAACCGACCCGAAAGTGGGGCAATCTGTCCGGGAGCCTAGGGGAGCCCGAACTCAGAGGTGCTCCGATCGAACCGAGACGTGGAAACCACGGCCGACCTCGTGGCTTCAGAGCTCCCAAGTGTTCCGACCCCATAGACCGTCGTGCCCGAGCCGGGCTCCCCATAGGCCAATGACCCCAGAGATTGACCAGGCTACCCATAAGTCATATAGTGATGATACCTATAGCCTATAGCACTATACCTAGCTGGGTGCCCTGGGGGTGCCCTGGCCAGTGGAGACCTGTTTACGTAGGGTAGGGTAGTCTAGCCAGGACACCCAGACAGGATGATCCTGGTATGTGATTGTTGAGACCTTTGTCTATGGTCACCACGTGCTCGCGCCATGTTCGTGTTCGTCTTTGTCCTTCTCCTTCCCACCAGGCAACGGGAAGACGTGGATGTGGCTCTTCGCATTGGGGAGGTTCCCGTTGGGCTTCGGCATCCTCTCGAAGTGCCAGGAGGTGCAAGGCTCCGTCTTTGCCGCACATCGGCACGTGCCACAGATCCACACCAACCTGATCGACGGACGGTCGAGTCGGTGTGGTGATGTCTCAGCTCCAACAGTTCAGCTGACCAGTTTTCACGTAGGTACGGCCTATGTATGAGGACACAAGTGGAGCTTACAGTAGGTGATTTGACGAAGCATCGAGAAATATCCAGTTCCGCTCCAGTGTCTGCTTAACCCAAAAAAGAACAGCGAGTCCCCTTGACACATTTGCAAGGCGAGCAGGAAGGGTGAGCCCTCAAAATGACTCGTCTGCTGTGTTGTTCTACAGTCATGCTTCTTTTGCCACAATGAAACTATGCCCATAACACAAATACCTTGAGTCTCCAATGACCCTTTTAAATTTGCCGTTCCAAGAAAAATAGGTGTTTGAAAGAAAGCACTTTTTTTGCATATGTCACGAAATGTTCCTTTTTTGTTTGTGCCCTGTCAGATCCTCCTTAGACAGTTTCCTGAGACCTTTTTTCGGCGTCCAAAACGCGTCTTTTTGCGTCCAAAAGGCGTCTTTAAGCGTCCGCACCGGACGCGTCCGGATGAAGATTCACTCTGTACCTTTTTTTGAGTCCTCATCTTTGGAAATGCGTTTTTCGAGCAAAAACGCAAAAATATTAGACCCAAAACGCAGAAAAAAATGTCTTTGGAGACTCAAGGTAGACAAATAATGCTGTATAAAAAAAACAATAAACCCAAGCTCAGTCAATGTGGACCAACCATAACCCATGCACATTACATCCCGTTCCCCCATCTTAACACATATATACAATTATATAACGTTTTGCTCCTAGCTGCAGCAAATCCCGATCCCTGACAAATTCCGCCATTGAGCACCTTCTTCAATCAACTCTAGGCCCAAGAGACTCTTATGTCTGAAGCGCCCCTCAATGAGATTCTCAAACACGGCGGAGTCCGCGTTCTTTGCTCGTCCGGTTGCAGCGCGTCGCGCTGGGACTGTTTCATAAAGTCGCGAAAGCGAGTCACCTGGGAGCGAGCGAAAAAGACCGCTCCGGCCCTGGTGGAAATAGATGGATTTGCTCCGTCTTGGCAGGAATTGTGTGTCCCTCGAAAGCACGTCTCCCGAGGAAAAGGTGCAACTGATTACTCAATGATTACTCTAATTATACTCTAATCATCTCTAGTCCATTCATCCCCCTAGGGGCCTGTGGTTTTGTCATTTTGTAAAAAAAAAACTCACCATAAAATGATCTGCATAGGATAAAACACTATAAAATGATAAAGCCAACCTTTATATAAAATGACTACATGGACATCAGATATCATCAGATCATGAGTGTTCTGTTAAGGCCAATCAGACCACTGTACTTCGTAGAACCGTTCTATGCAGGAGCCTGGGGGGACTGATTCTATGGATGATTTTTTTTACGGGGATCCACAAAGGATTGTCTTTTATAAAATGATCAACTGCCTGTTTGATGTTGGAGGAGTCCTTTTTTTATAAATTGGGTTTCTTCAGATGTCTGGATTTGGGGATCAAAACATAGTTGTTTTATATAAATTGACTCTACCAATTCCTGGCCAAGTCTGCCCAACACATATCATGACCCGTCCATTTCATAAATTCATATCATCTACACATTGATTTTTTATTAAATGACCACTTCATGTCTGGCACATTCTGAGCCTATGATTTTCCCTTGCTGGGCCCATTGCCCATTTATAGAATGGTGGCTGGTTTCCTCATTTTATATCCTCACAGGATGCCATTTCATAAACACACAGAGTATGGGGGATATCCATTCTAATCCTGTGGGGGCGCACGTGCGTGATTCGATTCTAAAAAGATCGATCTGAGCGTCCGACGCTTGCAAAAGTCCAGCTCTCGAGTTGATACACCTGGGACCTGCCTCTACACCATCCCAGGCGGCTTTCCCTTGAGACTCTTTGGCGCTAAAGGTGAAACATGCCGCTTTGGACCACGCAAAATCCAACGTTCGACCCAAAGGCGGAGGTGACTCATCTGTTTTTGGCCCCAAAACGATGGAACTCGGGGTGAGAACACCTGAGGCACTTCATCCAGGCACTTCATCTACTGTGGTCATACCAGTTGTAATATTTTTTCTGATTGGACGTATACATCTGAAAGGATCATGGAAGTGGAACAGTTCGGTCCTTCAAAAAAAAAGACATCCTATTGAAATCCTCTACACACGGGGTTTGTTCAGCTGATTGTCCCAGGGCGGGTGGCCAGTAAGTCAGGATACTCGGCAAACCCTGTAGCAAATCCACGGGTGTTTCTTCGCAGGACTAATTACCATGGAGACTGCTAGAAACGTGGGATGATATGTGTCTGGAGACTTCTAGAAGTGTGGGATGATCTGTTATGTGTCGTCCTTTGTCTGGCAGTTTCGAACCAGTCTACCCTGGGACTCAATATGGAAATGGATGGTCTCCCTAGTTGTAGAGGAAACTCGTCTTCCAGGAGGGAGAGGCCATCCGCTTCCATGTGAGTGAATTGATTTTCACAAGGACATTCTGCAACACATGAGATTTTATGTGTTCAATTCCGGGTGGCTTCCGCTGGCTGCAAGAGCTTTTCAAAGCTCTTGCCCTTGAAGTTGCCCGAATTCATCCTCAGTTTGATCTGTCAGTCTTGGTGCATCAAGGAAGCAAAACAACTGCATCTCAATGCAAAGCCAGACATGGACAAATCCTTTACAGTCAACAAAACTGTAAGTCCACTATGTAAAATTCCACGCTACATTGACCCTTGAAATCTAGAAAACCAAAACCACCTGGCCCCTCTCGGTGGCCGGTCAAGATGCGTCAGCTTCCTATCTAGAGTGTCGGGAGTTCGGGTCAGGTTTCTTTCTTTTGCACATGTGTCGCGACGCAAAGCAGGAGCAGTCTGCCGCCAGTTTTGATGTGGGGTCTCTTCTTTAAACCAAGACTCAGCAAATGCTTTAAACACTCCGCATCCGCGCGGATCGTCATATCGTCCGCCAATAACACCTGGAACAGGAGAAGAAGAGCGCCCACCAGTTCACCGCTCCATTCGATCTGTTGAAGGAGTACCCGGTGGTTGGACACATCAGAAAAGTTCCGCCTGCCTGAACAAGCCCAAAAACACTGGAAAACAAAAAACAACTTGGCAACCATCACCTGACAGGTGGGAAAAAAAACCACCTGCCTGAAGAAGCCAAACAAAACAAACAAATCGTTGCCTGTTTGTTTCCTCAAGCAACAGATGATACCATGTTTTTTGCAATTTGGATCCTCCTCTCGCGTAGTAGGCTAAGGCATCTTTGAACCAATCCCCAACGATGGCCTGAAAAAAGCGCGGTCCATGTCCCTTCCAAGAGAGGTTACGTGACCTTAAATAGGACCCGTCACCTGGGGTACCTATGGGATAGTCTGTAGAGTTCTTCAACCTCTGTTGGTTTGTCCATTCCATGTCAAAGCTCCATCAACCGCTATTTCCTAGCCTCGACGCACGGTTCTCGAGTCAGTGTTCCCCCAACATATTAGTGCCCAGGTAAAACCTGGGCGAAGAACCAGCCATGCCAGGCAAACCTTTGGCATAGTTGCAAGGATCAATTAGTGTCTTCGCGACGCCGGCACTCGTTTTCTCTCCCGGTCTCCATGGACCACGGGTCGCCTCCCCATCACAAACGCCCCGAAGCATGCGGCGGAAGCTCGACAAGATGGACTCCGTGTCCAACAAGGAAGAGACGTGACACGTGATCCAATACCTCACGGAAGGACGGAAGGAGGTTGTTTCGGAACGCATGGGGAAAAAACACAAAAAGGGTCCAAATGCATGCCAGGGGATTAACTTTTCGGAATGCATGGAAGAACATGCGGTCCGCATGCCAGGCATGACAGGGGATTCACCGGGAAAACTATAGATCTTATAATCAAAACCAAGTTCAAGGTTGACCTGTCTGCTGTCTGTCCACCTGTGTCTGTCTGCTCACTACGTCATGAGGTCAGGTCATACTGCTCACTATGCAACAGCGGAGAAAGCAATACCTCACAACCCTATGAAGCGGAGGCATCCGCATCACAACGCTCCGGGAAGCTACAGAAATTCCACCCAGAAGGGTTGATAACCTGAATATATAGATTGAGACATGAAATGGCTTGAGACACGGAAGCTAACGAAGCGACGCGACGCGGAAGCTACTGCATTTGAAATGGCTTGAGATATGATCAGACATGATCACCTGAATAGATTGATGACGCTGAACCCTGGGCAAAGCGAGATCTTTCGGCGAATCGTGCGCCAAGACACATGTAAAAAATAGAAGACCCTGTGTGGTGACTGCTTGACCGAGATAGGTCGCCCCCAAAAAATAGGTCTCCCAGATAACGAGGTCTGCCTCCTTTTCAAAAAAAAACATGTTTTGCATTCAAGAGACTCCAGGATGACGGAAAACGCGACGATCCCCGACCCTGCCAGGATTTGGACCTCATGGCCGAGCGGAGCGGACCCGAGTTCGACGTTTCGACGCTTGCGGAGGTCGATGGATCTGGGAGCAGTCCACAAATCAAACAAAGACAGCTAAACCAAGAAAGACACAAACCAAGGTGTCTTTTTATTTTTGACTTTCTTTACACCTTCGAAGAACATCAAACCAAGAAAGCCTAGCTGCGGCCAAACATGGAGCCCAAAAAGAATTAGAATTGGTTGATTCAAAGACCGACTGACCACTGTTCTGAGTTAAAACCCACTGTTCTGAGCAAAGAGCTATAGAACATCAAACACGAACAATCTGCCTAAGTGGCATTTCCGGTGTGAACCGATTGCTGGGGCAGTTGTAGAGGGCAATGCATGACATATAAGATATATATGACATGCAACTGAAAACTGCCAGAAGGTCTAACAAAAGAACCACACCTAGCACCCAAACTCTCCCTGCATGGAATACATACCTAATCATGCCTACATTGAGCCCTTTTTAAGCACCCCAATGTATGGTTTCATAGGCTAGTCTCATCGCTTGTGGGACTGGGTCATGGTACATGAAGCATGATCCATGGGCCTGGCAGGGTGCACTGAATTGTGGGTTGTAGGACACAACTACCAATCAGGTTTATTCTTTACAGCGCAGGGAATCTATTGTCTATGGTGTTTCTTGGTTGGTTTCTTGGCAGGAACTACCAGCGATTTCTGTTGGGCACCCCAAACCCTGGATTTCCGGACACAGGAAGCACCTACGCCCAATCGGGTGGTTCGTGAGGGGAGGGTCCTGGCGTGAAAGCCAATTGCACCAGTCATCCCAGTGAGGGATGCCCCCCATCTTTGCTCATTGTACATCTCTTGGCTGTCCATATATCCTTTGCTAAGAGCTTCACCTGCAGAGGTTTACTCAGAAATCCTTCTAAACCGGAAGGAGAGGTCGGGTCTAAGATGGCACGCCTGAGGACGCTACGCCTGGCACCTGCATATGCCAGGCAGGCACCTGGCTCCTCAGCACTCCTGCCTGCCTGCGCCTAGCTTCTACTGGGTGTCAAAGCAGGAGCCTATGTGTTTCCACCTATGAAAGACTGCTTGGTGAATGAGAGAAATGATCGGTTTTTGTCTTGTCATACTCTGTAGATTGACCATTCTCAGATACAGATACTCCATGCATCTCCATGCGAATGGAATAGCTACCGATCAGGCCAGGCGTGGCCGATTGAAAAGGGGTCAATGTAGGTCAATATACCTCCACTCCGTGTGTGGAATGCATCATCCTACATCGATCAATCAAATCATCCCGCTGAGTATCTCTTCCAGTCCCAAATACGTGTCACACTCCTCTAAACATTCGCCGCCTCCTCCGCGGCATCGAACTACAGCAACCACTCTGCCCTCTATAGACCTCTCCACAGGTTGCTGATTGGGTTCCTTCCAATTTCTTGACTCCATCCATAACAACTCTCCTTCAATTCTGATCTCTGCAAGCTGACCGCCCCGTGAGGTTCAAGGAGCCCAGGCAAATAGGACGGTATCGGCGATGTCATGCTGCACGGAGTATTGCCAAATCTCCGCGGTGGAGATGACCACCTGCCAGGGTGAGGTGAAAACATAGGAGATGATGACCAGAACCCCCAGACCCAAAGATCCTGGGAATGGTTTTTGGATGTTTTTGGTTAGGCCAACCCCTATGGTTGAACTCTCCGACTCCGACTCCTGGCGAAGACAGACCGATTTGCATGGAGGGCCCTTTTTGAGCACCCCTTTTGTTCCCCATTGGTCGGTGAACACGACCTGTCAGGGACTACCAGGGGCCCCACAAACCATCAATAACCGGGTCTCCCCTAGCAAAATAATGGTTTTTGATTTTTGTATGTGAAACACTATGAGAACACATAGGCTCATGGTTTTGAGGGCCACTGGTAGAGTGACTAGACTAGAGCCTACGACCGGGACCTGCTTTCACTGTACGACCTATGGACCTATGTGAGGCAGACAGCAGAGCGGACAGCAAACTTGAGCCCTTCAGCCGGTTGCTGGACGGGAGCCTGTTTTGTATCCACATCTTTGTTAGGAGGGTTTTAATGAATGTGATTTCTTGCTTCCAATGTGTTGAATTGAGCACCTAGACAATGACAAGGCCAATTGCAAAAGGGCCTTGGCATCCCTCTTGGAATCACTTCTGTTTGATTGGTACCACCCAGGAGACCCCACAGGATACCAGGATCATCAGCACAACATGGTGAAAAGAAGTCAATATAGTTCAGTGACAGTGGTTCTCTGATCTCTCTTGATGCCCTATGTCCTATGCCCATCATTGAAATATGCAGCAAGAAAAAGCCCCCTATGCCAAAAGATCCTATATAGTCAGGTATATATCTGGCAGACCCATGAAGTATCACAACTTGCTTTCCTTCTTAATTGAAGACGGACTCATTGCCCTGCTTGGCATCGCCCATTCTTCCGAAAGAGAGTCGAAGAAAAACCACACGCCCCACACGACGCTCGCTGTGCGCCGCGCGCCTGTGCGGGACCTGTCGTCCAAGTGTCGATGAAAATCAGCGACATGATCATGCGAGAGCTCATGTTGAAGACCTGGATCTGTGGAGTCAACTGGAGGCGTCTGGATGTGTGTTTTCGCACCTGTGGACATCACTGTTTGCCGCTTTTCTCCTCATCCCGAAAAAGCTAGCTAGAGTGTCATCAAGAAAATGACGCTCCAATTTCTTCTCCAACACACGTCGTGAATTAGGGTTTTCGATGGGAATGAGGTTTGACTTGAACATGTTTGACTCCGGATGACCCAGTCCGCAGTGAACGGAGCGACTTACCATTCAATCAGAACAAGTAAGCATCCATAAAACCGAATTCACAGGGTGACTTGTGTCCAACAAATTGGTGGTAAAATTGGTAGAGCTTTTGGTTTGGTCTTGGCATGTTTTGGCCTACAAGGCTGGCTGGAGGCTGGAGATAAATAAACACTATCAGGGTGTCCAATAGAAAATGAGTGCGTCAACATCATGGTGCAAGGATGCTTCAGGAAAGAGGGGCACAGCATTCTCAGCACAAAATGAGTGGTAACCGTGGCGTCAATGTCATGTTGCTTCATTTTCCGGAGATTCAGCATCAAAGCAAGGCAATGCCTCTAAAATGCACAACCAGCCATCTTCATGTTGCTTAATCTTCCGGAGATTCAGCATCAAAGCAATGCCTCTAAAATGCAAAACCAGCCATCTTGTAAGCATTTTCAAAGTCCCATACAAATCTCTAGTACAGGATTCAACAAGATTGCCTCAAGGTCTTTTTGACGCACTCCTGTGAAATATCTGTCGGTATATCCCATTCCCCAAAACCAGGCTATGAACTATCATGTTGTAGAAGTTGTTCGCAGGATTCAGCAGCCCAAGCGACCTGCTTGCTCACCGCCCGCGCTTCAGTGTCCTGACGTAAAAACACACGGGAGGTTCAAACAGGGACAAGGTTCCCTATTTGTTGGGACACATGTTTCTTCGCGGACACCCCCTGCCAGGCACACACACAAGAACTGCTGCAGCTGGGAACCTGTCCTTCTGCCAAACACTCGCGATAATGAAGAGGCTGAAGGCGCTGTAGAACAGGACGTAGAGAAAGCGGAGGTTCTTCGCGTTCAGGTTCATTTTCTCACAGGACACCGCATGCAGGTAAACACCCATCAGTATACATAGTTGAGCCACGTGTGTAAAGGAAGGCTCTCGATAAAGGTTGTAACTCATGCCAATCAGCACAAAGGCATTCTGATGTATCAAGAATTGGATCGCCTCAGCATCGCGTCCACTCTGGGATCTGACTTGCAAGCAAACACGGCCGGTGGGACTGCCATGTTTGCCGATCTTGGGGTGGTTTGCAGAAGTCAATGTAGGCATATATTCCGTACATAGATTGCCAACTCTTCACCAATGCTGCACTTTTTGTGAATCATCGTGGGGGCAGTTTGGCAGCTTGGGACCATCTTCCTATTGGTATCTACTGGCCTATTGGTTGGGTGTACACATGTGTAGGATGAATCAACGAGCCAAGGCCGTAAAAGGCAATCAAAAGGCCATCTATGACTCTATGATGTTTACAGACCCCCTTGTAATTGTATCCACAAGGACACCTTAGAGAGAACCCTACTATAGTAGAGAACCATCCTAGAGAACCTACAAAACTAATCAAAAAAGCCATGACTTGCCACCATACCTGCCACTTTGAAAAGCTAAAGCTACGTCACGGTCTCCTGCCAGTTTGATCATTACCGTGGACAATGCGGCAATGTGATTGTTTCACTGAGTCAAAGGACACCGCGTGATGCCAGTGAGGAATGTTTCCCTGTTGTCCGAGTGAATTTCCTTCAACGTAACGGAAGAGTCCACGTAAAGTGGCAGCCGGGTCTTAGAGATGGACCCTGAAAGAATGAAGGAACCCTTATCGATGCTTTGCATATGTCATCGTCATGTGTCATAGAAACTGTTGACCGAAAAATGCGCAAACTACAGCCCATTCTTTCCAGTTACTGATACAAGTGACGCTTAGAATCTGTCCTCTCCCCTTTCTCGTGACTTTCTGGTTCAACACATGTGAAACCTTTGGGCCCTGTGCGACCCACCGGCCCGGTGGCATGCCGATAGGTGCGTGCTCGCACATCCCACACAGCTTTCTCCACTTCTGCCCGAGCAGGTCGGTCATCTTTGCGCCGCAAGGGGAAGGCCCAGAGGAAGGCCCAGACCTGCCGACCCAGCCAGGTCTGGGTGAAGAGGAACACTTCTTGACCCAGCCAGGCCCTAGGCTTCTTGACCCACCAGTAGCTGACCGCAAAGTCATGCAAAGCCTAAACCGCCGGCCGACTGGGCTGGAACAACGCCCAACTGCCTGAAATGATCCCCCAAATGATCCATGGGACAGCACCAAATGGCGGCCTACATGTAGTTTTGGTGGATTGTTTTTGGGGTTGGATATTTCTACATATTTCTACATGAAGCTTTTGTTATTTGTATTTCTACATGACTGGTCACAAAAACACTACCACCATAGATCATCCGGGATCCACTACGACTTCTCGAAGTCTCGGAGGACCCAAGCGCTTCGTCTCGGACGGGTCTCGGAGTCACCCCGGCCATGACTGATGACATCATATCGACATCATATGACCCCCAAAAAACCTGCTCATCCACAACCACGCACTCCATGGGACTGGCATATTTACCATATATTGGGGTGGTTGATTTTAGGGGTCAATGGGGCGGCATATATACCATACATGGAGTGTCGGGGCAATATTCAACAATTACTTCCACAATCCCTTAGTTTTTTGAGGTACATCATAATTTAATGTATAATATTATGTAGAATCATATGAATCATATATGTCATGTCTATTTTGGGTGGCAAATGCTCTTAAAAGGGGAGAATACAGCTTCCAAAAAGACCTGCATTCACACATGTTCTCAAAACATATCCTTCTCCTTCTCAGCGAGAAGCTGGCTCCAGCAAGGATTTCAATTGCCCGCCATACTTGGTCACATGCTGGGCCAGGAAGACGAAATTCAGTGCCACGATCGCAGCAGCAAACAGCGACATGTTTGAGCAGATTTTAGAGCCCAAAATGGCTTTCGTTTGACGGTCAAAGATTGGTCAACTCTGTTCGTTGCAAACCCAGAACTTCTGTTTCGACTCATGAACTACTCCACCAGGTAGTAGGAATCCACCACTACCAGGCCGAGGTAAAATGAGTCAAACTTGGACTCAAACCGCACTATAGCTACCGCAGTTCCCTCCCTTCTTCTCCATACGAACCTCACGTCCCCCCCCATAGGCCGGTGTCGAAGCCTTCAGACGGTCTTCACTGCCAGCCCAGCGCTGTTTTCCAAACACCGGGGACCCGTGCGGTGGCACCCCCCCCAAGTGATCAGCAAAGATGTCAGTCTCATGGAGGCTTTTGGAGAACGTTTGAGAACATTGGGATCCATTGACGTCAACAACTCGAGGTACCAAACATGAACATGCCTCCGATGCCTCCAGGCACCACCAAAAATGCTTGGTGATTCCAAATCAGCCAGCCACCCCAACCTCATCGCCAGCGGCCGCCCGCCCCGGCCCCATCGCCAGCGGCCGCTCTACCTCGTCCACATGTGTGACGACGTGAGCAGGAGCAACCTTTCCAATCCCCTCCGGCCCTATAGTAGGGCTCTTGTCCCATATCCTCAGGTTCGACCCCTGGCACCTACCCGGTGCATCATAGAAACGGAACGGACCCCAAGCTCGCTGGCGAATCCTCCTCCTCCTCACTGCTCTCCACCGCTTTTTCCGAACGGGTCGATTCGAAGAAAACGACGGAAGACGTCGATCGAAGCGTACCGTCCCATGCATCGGACGTCCGCGACGTGAGATCCCTGCGGTGCCATGGAGAACGAATGCGGCCGTTATTCGTGTTCCACTGCCTGCCGAAATTCAGGGAGAAACAGCCGACGTACACATCCACTGCGATGGTTCCTGCGAACCGTTTAGGGCGCGGCGTTGGGAAAAAAAATGAAAACAATAACCAGAGCGTCGTCTTTTTGCGTCGCTTTCAGGCAAGACTCAAAGGGTACAGTAAGAGGATCAAAGAAGGGATCAAACAAATCTCATGATCAGGTTCTTTAAACATTTCATCTCAAACATCCATGCAGATGTAGGCCATTTGCAGGCTGGATAAAAAAGGAACATGTATGACATGCACGTCATGCACTACATCTTCTTGGTATCTGGTTTCCCTAGGATCATCTAGGGTCAGTCTATATTTGGCCGGTCCTCCGGTCGGTGATGTTTCGACCCATCCCGAGCGCATGACTTCAGACTTCCGGAGCTCAAGCGCTCGTGAAGTCTGAAGGGTCCGGTGCCGACGGAGGGACATGTGGTGTGGAGGGCGTGGCTGGAGGATAGAAACCCAAAGACGCAGCGATGGGACCTGGTGCCGAATCCCGACTCAGACTAAGTAGTCACTATATAGTGGGATGATTTGAGTGATCAATGATGATCAATGTAATGTTGACATAGGATTAAGTAACCACCCCCTATTAATCAATCCCAGCTCGACACCCCCATTACTAAACTAATTTAAACCTAGATTTCCACCTTGGCATCACCCGATTAATCAATCCCAGCTCCCCCAGAAAAAATATAATTGGTTCTCACCACCACCTCTCAACTGCCTCATCCTGCTCACCAATCCTTTTGATGGCTTCTCCTCAGGTCTCATGCTACCAACCATCCCCCAAAACCCCAAAAACTCTCTAGCAAAAGTCTTTCATTTTCCATTACTTGAGAGAGGAGGGGGTGAACGAAAGGTAGCAGGGAATCAGGCGTAACCCTGGAAACACTCGTATTAATGGCACTTACGGTGTTTTGTGGTCACTTTGAAGCGTACATAGCTTGAAGCCATCCCAATATACAGGGTTTTGTGGCAGGAAGGTGCAGAAGCCCGTGTAAGTACCGTCGCTTTGTGCCACACCACCGCAAAAGCCCTTTCCGCAACAAAAAACCTGCAAATAGCGTGGTTTGAGGCCACTCTTGAAGATAGGAGGAGCTGAAAACACATGAGAACACTGGCATTTACGGTGTTTTGTGGCCACTTTGAAGCGTACACAGCCCAAAACCATCGCAATTTACAGGGTTTTGTGTCATTTTGTGCCATTTAGGAGCCTCCAAACGCTGAAAAAGCCCTTTCCGACAATTTTTCCAGGTTTTTGACAATTTTTCACCATTTGAAGCCTAAACACTTCAAAAACCATCGGTTGTTACGATGTTTTTGGCCGGACAGCCACAGAAAACCCTGTAAATTGCGTGGTTTGAGGCCACTCTTGCAGACTGGAGGAATTGAAAACACTGGTATTTACGGTGTTTTGTAGCTGTTGACAAAAACCCGCGCCAGGGTGGAGTTGAAAGGGGGAGGGGGGAGGGGGTGAAAGAGTGACTAGGGCGTACACGGTAGAGGTGCAAACCGCTAGTGTCTTTTGCTCACGCAGAGTCTTATCCTATATCCCTTGAGCCTTGTGGCAGTCAAGCATGGACACACTAGATAGGCCACTGGAGTGGAACCTGTACAAGTAGGCCTCTACATTTCAGCAGGCACAAAATTCATGTCCACTCCTGCCTATTGCGTATGTCGCACACTATTTTCTACCTTAAGGCTAAAACAGTCCAGCAAGCTCTAGTAAGCTGAAAAGGAAACCACGGTGCCCTGTACTTACCAATTCCAGTGTATTTCACACTTTAGAAAAGGTAATCTCTAGGTATACTAAATACAGTGAGGGAGCAATAGCTGACTCACCTCAAATACAAGGTCAAAGACAATGTACCTCGGCTGGAGACTGTATTGTTCACCGGCGAAGATACCGTGTACCGGCGCTCAATAGCCCTTAAATAGCCAGAGCTTCAAAGAAACTTAAATTCGAAGGAAAGCGGCTTTCTTACACAGAGACCTGTAAAAGCAGTAAACGACACTCGCGTAACGAAGAACTAAAAATTCAAGACCGCACAAATTGCAATGAATTAGGATGCCTTGCAAAATGCAAGGAGCGTCAACTCTCGGTCCGAGGAATGTTCTTCTCTAAAAGTGGTCTCGGCCGCTTCCATACACAGGACTTAAATAAAAATGGAACTGCATCAAAAGGACTCTTTCTCATTGACACCAAAAACAAAAAGGAAGGAGACACCGGCAAATGTATGTACAAAACTTGCACTACAAATGCAAACTTATGAAATGACTTAATCCTCAACCATGAATGGTTGTCCATTAGAGGTCACCTCAGAAAAAGCGGCTGTGATAGATATCATCAGTTATGCAAAACTGTCCATACCTATCTGCATGCTAAAGCGTATAAACCTGGAATGCAGGAGTATCTTCTTTGACAAAAAGTTTCTCCTTGTTGCAAACCAGAGTTCATTAAAACTTCAGCCTGGCAACTCAAAGTCAAGCTTGGAAGCAAAGTATCAACTGTGATCAGGAGTATCTTCACTTCCTAGCTATCATTAAAAGTTAGCCTCCGCTCTGAATTCATGCCGCTGCAGTCGATGAAGCTGCTTGATCAGAAGTTGGCGGCCTACCTTTCCTTTTATTCTCTTTCTGTCTCTCCTTCCTCCGCAGTTTCGCCTCATGAAGAGTTGCTCCCATGCGATACTGTCTTCTGTCTCCAGATGAAAAGGAAGCTGGTCTGAGTGAAATAAACATTGGACCATGACTGTCCTCGTCAGTGGGCCTTGAGCACATAACCTCTGTGTCAATCATAGCAAAGTTCTCTGAAAAATTACAGATGAACTCCTTCGTGCTCACTGTGGAATTTGTATATTCCTCTTCACTCATTGAATGACCCCATTCAACAATGGTAGACAAACATGTATCTCCAAGCTGTGATCCCTGGTATTCTTCTTTCTCTACTGTGGAGTAATCTTCCCAGAGTTTATCAAAGTAATCTTCACACTGCTTGAGGACAAGTGAAGAAGAACTGTAAAATGTTCTGGGAATAGGTGCTTTGATACCAGGATCTGCTTTTACACGGGCTTCTGAAAACCTGCGGATCCAATGCTGCATGGTGCTATAATAATAGTTAGCCATTGGCTGCCTTTTGTACCCAGACATTCTGTAGGCTAAGCTATTTGCATCACCAGAAATGATGTCCACCTCATAGACAAAACATTCATAAAGCATCAATGCTGTCTGTTCTCCTGTCAGTGAGTGGGCATCCACAGCACGGTGTGTGTCAACATGATAATTACAGACTCTGATGGTATGCATGTTCGCTCGAGTAAGTGGAACACGCTGGTCCTTAGGACCATAGTCCTCAAATTCAAAGTCTGCATCCTTGAAGTCTTGACGAAGCCTTGTTTCTCCAAAACAAATCTCATAGATAGCCCAAGTTACATCACGCTGTTGACAGTGACCAAGGTCTTGGTCATGTCCGGCAATGATCTTGATATAGCCATCTGGTGCCAATCTAGCCATCACTGCAAGATTCTCCCAATCATTGAAACAAACTGTCCAATTCTTTTGCTCAATGAATTCCTTGGCAGGAACAAGGAGATGAGCTTCCTGGAGAATCACGACATGTGCACGCAAAAAGAAGAGCATATTGAAGAAAAGGTTGTTCTCAAATTGCTCGTATTGAAGTGACATGGCGCTCTGTTTGCGTGGCCTCATTGCACTATCAAGTCCTTGGAGAAACCTTGGTGTGGTGTACTTCTGACCACGAACCATGTTGCCATAGTTCCAGGATAAAAACGTCAAGGACTCTGAGCTGGCCAATAAGTTGGTTCCATATTGTTCTTCTATTCTTCCCTTGAGGAACCTTCTGCACAGCTCTTCATAGAAGGTAACAAAGTCCCAACTGGGTCCATTGGGGCCTTATGATTCCAGTTCCTTCTTTAATTCCTTCTTCGTATCCTCCAATTCTTCTCGAGCATGCTCTGCCCTTTCAAAGGCTTTTGGATCGACCTGATACTTGCCATCCAAATAACTGATGCGGTCATCATCAATGAAAAACCTCTTCAACTCATGCTCTGAGTCGTGTTCATAACAATCAGGTGGAGGTACTGGACAGACCTTT